CGAGCGGGTGAGGCAGTCTCTTCGTGAGCTCTCACCTTGGTCTTAGAGCACGCTCCTCGAGAGCTTCTAAGACCTAAACCGAGCAGGTGAGGCAGTCTCTTCGTGAGCTCTCACCTTGGTCTTAGAGCACGCTCCTCGAGAGCTTCTAAGATCTAAACCGAACGGGTGAGGCAGTCTCTTCGTGAGCTCTCACCTTGGTCTTAGAGCACGCTCCTCGAGAGCTTCTAAGACCTAAACCGATCAGGTGAGGCAGTCTCTTCATGAGCTCTCACCTTGGTCTTAGAGCACGCTCCTCGAGAGCTTCTAAGACCTAAACCGAGCGGGTGAGGTAGTCTCTTTGTGAGCTCTCACCTTGGTATTAGGGCACGCTTCTAGAGAGCTCCTAAGACCTAAACCGAGCAGAACTCGCGAAACTCTTACAAGGCAAACTAAGCGTGAAACGAAAAAGATATGGACGAGGAGACGAGAAGAGCAAAGGCAAAGTAAAGACGGGAAAAGTAACTTGGAATTTTATTGACAAACGAGAAAAGTATAACGGGAGTATAAAAAGCAATAAAATCCTAAGTCTACATTTAGGATGGCCTTGACGCTTCACCCGTCTCCCCGATGGCTTCAGCATCAACATTGGCATTTTGAACAGCCGGGGTAGACAATGGGGGATCATTGATAGGAACTAATTGGCCGTCCACCACCATCATACTCACGTCCAGCCGAGAGTCGTCGGTGGGCACTTGGAAGAGAAGGTTGCACTGGGCAAGGGCCTTGTCGAAGCCGAGCAGATGCTCGTTCACCACTTCATCACCCAGCAACTTGTTTTCTGCCTCCACCTCAGCTACCCGAGCATCTAACTTGGTTACCCGAGCGCGGAGAGAATCCCGCTCGGCGGTCAAAGTGGAGTTGGAGGCAGTGGCCTTTTGAAGGTCGAGCTGGACATCGTCCAGTGACCGTTGCATACGCCGTTGGGCTGTGCGGGCCTCGGCCAACAGCGTGCTGGCTTTCTTCTTATCTTCCTCGGCCATCCGCTCGGTCTTGGCCAGGCGCAAAGTTAAGTCCTGGTTGGCCTTGAAGGTAGCTTCAAACTTCTCTTGGATGGCTTGAAGTTCAGTAGAAGCAGATGCCCTCTTCGCGGCAGCGTAAGACAAACACATAGCCGAGCGGGCAGCCAATTCCAAGGCCATGTTGGAGGCCTCCTCTTCGGTCATCCCATTGACCAAAGCCTTTTCCTCAGTGAAAAGGTCGAAGTGTAGGCGCTTAGCCACCCAGACGTTAGGACTTAGCGGCCTAGTGAGGGGAGGACCGTCAGGAAGATGCCTCCTCGACCTCTTCGATTCAGCTGAGGTCTCCTTAGCGGCCTTGCGCTTTCCTTTCTTCTTGCGCTCGGCTTTAGGTGGAGGGGCTGGAGATGTTTGTTGAGAAGGGACCTCGACCACGGCATGAGGGATCGAGGCCTTTTGGATTTTGCGGGATGTGGCCGGCTCAGCAACCGCCGACGGGGCGGGGGAGGCACCCCCACTCGGTTTCCTGACTTCACCCCCTCTTTGGGCGAACAGGCGGCCGAAGGTGCTGTTCCGTGAAGGGTCCATCTTCGATAGGTAATCTACAGAACGACAAGAAATTCAGTTAAGTCCCAACAGGCTGCTCAATAAAAGGCGATCAAAAATAGCTTACCGAACACGTTGGACGGAAGGTTCTTGTTGCCAAGAAACCCGATCAGAACACGGCACGAGGATTTGGGGGGTAGCTGACAAAGCTAATTGATCAAGTCCAGATCCTCGGTGCTCATTTGGGGCTTTGGCCAAGAGAGGACCTTCCGGGGATCTTGCGTCGTGTAAAGTGGAAATTTAGACTCCCGAGCGGGACCGGGGAGATAGAAACTCTTGTAGCCAGACTCCGTCGGCACGACTTTAAAAAAGTGATTTTTAAAGTCTTTGTAGGAGCTGTTATAGAGAGTTAACAGGTGCTTATTCCCGACTGTCCGCAGGGACACCCATGGTTTGGTCGGGTGGGGTTGCACGTGGAAGAAATAGAGAAAAGCCGCTGGGGTCGGCTTCAGCGCCAAGCCAGAACAAATGGCAGCAAAGGCTTTTATAAAGGCCCACCCGTTCGGATGCAGCTGCGTGGGGGCTAAGTTAAGGGTTTTCAGCACACCCATCTGAAAGTCTGTGAACGGTAGGAGAACCTTCAAGTCTTTGAACATGGTGGCGTAAACGTAGAAGAAATCATAGGGGTAGTCACCCCGACCGTGGCAGACGTGCTCGGTCCTCTGACAGATAGCAAGTTTGAACTCCCTGGAGTCATCAGCATTCTTGACCAGACAGATACGGGTGATCAGATTCCGGAATGCTTCGCGATTGTAGAAGGAGGAAGGAATCTGCCTAACTTCGTTAGGCACCCAGTCATAACCGGGGACAGGGGGCCAAGCTCGGGGCCTCCCGTCCCAAGCGTCGGTAGAGTCTACGTGGATGGCGACTTCTTTAGGGGCATCACTATCCACCAGAAGATCGGAGGAGTTCCCAGAGGGTGAAGCCCTAACACCATGACCGGTAACGGCGGCTATGGAGGTCGACGGACTGGCACTGTCTGACGGACTGGCATTGTCTTCATCAGCGTACCCCTTACCCTTGTTGCCGGAAAGATCAGACGACATGATTACCTGAGAGAAAACGGAAGGAGCAGAGAGATTAGGAGGAGGAGAAGAGGCTGGCGACGGCGAGAATAGTAGAGTCAGAGTAAAAAATTAGGGTGAAAATAAGGATATTTATACTTAGGTTAAAACCGACTCAACGGATAAATCTAGAGCGTCAAAGGTCGCGAGATCTAACGGTTCAGGGGGTGTGACGTTTCGGTGATGGGAAGATCTGACGGTTTAGGGGGAGAAGACGCTTCGTTTTTCATATTTCCCGCCTAAATATTACGGTCGAGACTTTTCAATTCCCACCAAAGCACATGGTCAAATTTCGAGAAGAGGAAAGGAAGGCCGAGCGGAGGTCACTTCAAAACCCTACGCAAAGGTACTTTGCTAGGGATTGGGGGGCTTGTGTTACTACTGAGGGTAGACAACCGATCGTGGACTGGGTTACTACCGAGGGTAAGCAACCGACCACGGATTGAGTTACTACTGAGTGGGAGAAACCGACCGCAGCTTGTGTGGCTACCGAGGGTAGGCCACCGATCGGGTGTTTGATAACATAACCGATCGGGCAAGCACGAGTAAAGGAGATTGCAGACAACCGTTAAATGCTCATGAATGCGTGGTTAATGAGGTAACGGTCCTTGTCGAGTATTTAAAGTGAGCATTGAAAGCCATTAAAAGGTAAATTAATGAATAATATTCCCTGTAATTGTATAAATAGAAGTCAAAGGGGAACGTAAATGTTCTGTTCATTTTCATATCTATAGACTTGCGATAGCCTATTCTGACTTGAGCGTCGGAGTGTTTGCTGCACGTCAACACTCTTCTATTGACTAAGGACGAGCGTAAAGAGTAAAGAGAAGGAGAACCGAGCGCAAGAAGTGAAGAGAAGGAGAACCGAACGCAGGAGTGGATTGAGTGTTTCTTGACAAACGTAAGAGTTTCCCCGGTCTCATTCAGCAGAAACAGTCATATAAGTGATAATTAGATTATAAATTTTAAAATAAAATATGACAACAACTAACTAAACAAAGTAACATTTACATGATACTAGAAAATTAAACAACAAAAATTAAATTAAAAAATATAAAAATATTTAATACTTATATATTATATAAATTTAATAAATCTAGTTGAACATTCCAGAATTCATTAAAAACTTTAATCTTGTCTAAAATTTATATAGAATTATCCTAAAACTAATCTAAAATTTATTATTGCTTTTAATAAACGAAAAAAAGAAAAGGACTCAAACGAGCACAGACGCACGCACACACTCACAGTCAATCACTTCAAACCCAAACCCAAACCGAAACTCGAAAACCCATCTCACAGTCTTCCGCTTCAGATCTACCATGACGCCGCCACTGAAGGCCGTGACGTTGACGCACGTGCGCTACCAGAAGGGCGACCGCGTAGGGCACTTCCTGGCGTGGATTTCCCTCGTCCCCGTCTTCATCTCCTTCGGCGGCTTCGTCTCCCACTTCCTCTTCCGCCGCGAGCTCCAAGGCATGTTCTTCGCGCTCGGCCTCATCTTGTCGCAGTTCATCAACGAAGTAATCAAGACCTCCGTCCAGCAGGCACGGCCCGCCACCTGCGCACTCCTGGAGATGTGCGACTCACACGGCTGGCCCTCCAGCCACTGCCAGTACATGTTCTTCTTCGCCACTTATCTCACTCTTCTCTCCCTCAAAGGTCTCACCTTCTGGCACGTGCGCGACAACCCTTTCCTCCACCTCCTCACGTGGTCCCTCGCGCTCCTCACCATGTACTCTCGCGTCTACCTCGGTTACCACACTGTTGCTCAGGTCCTCGCCGGAACCGTGCTGGGGGTTTTTCTCGGCGCGGTTTGGTTCTGGGTTGTTAACTCCGTTTTGCACCCTTACTTTCCTCTTATCGAAGAGAGCGGGTTTGGGAGAAGGCTCTATGTGAAGGACACTTCTCATATTAGTAATGTGTTGGAGTTTGAGTATGATATGGCCAGGGCTGAGAGACGGAACTTGGCGTGTAATTCTAAGGCGGATTGATTGGTATGTTGAAATCTTCGTGATTATCGTTTGGGTATGCTATTCAATGTGATGCTAATTCTTAGGATTGTTGAGTGAGGCTTGGGAATTGTGAGAGATTTGAATTTGGTTTGGAATTGTTTGTTGGGTGAAATCTAGTTGTTGTTTTGCTCTTGAAGATCAAAGTGGAGGCTTGGAAAATTTTGTTTCATTACATGATTGTGCGGGCATACTGAAATCAAATTCATATGCCGCCTTTTTCTAGTCTCAAGTGGGTATTATTAGTGTTATTTTTACTGAAAGATGTAAATATATATTTTTTATAAAAGGATGTTCCTGATCATCATTTTGTTTTATTTGTATTCACTGGTTGATTAATCTTGTGAACGAATGCTGTTCAGTGTGTACCTTTTAGTTGGATACTTTTAGTTGTTTGTGATGGTAGATAATGGGTTGCTGGTATGCTTGCTCTGTTTGTTTCGATACTCAGTTTGTGTGTGAATTTTATGCCTCTAGTTGGTTAAATGTATTGTTTGGACAAACATCTCCGTTAGGTTTCTAAGAAAAAAAAAGGGAATTAAACTTGCTCCGGAACATAAAATTAGGTTATGCATAAGCTAATTTAAAGTTCTCTTATATGATTTCTTTAAATTTTATATTTTAACTTGCATAAGCTAATTTTAACTTATGGATAAACTCATTTTTTTTCTTATTTTTTTCTTCTAAAATCTTTGTGGAGAAGTTTGTCCAAGGCTATAAGTTCACATGCAAAACAAAGCACGTCATAGACTAACATACTACTGAACCAGTCAAAATGAGAGCTTCAGATATTGTGAACTGAAGCTCAAGGTTATTCGATATTTTGATTGCTGCCATTAGGATTAGGACACCGAGACCCCCCTTACTGCATATTGTGGTATTCCTCTCTGAATCTCATTCCATCGATGATAGTTTGAGTATGTTTCTTCTTTATATTTGTGATATGAAGTTTGTTATATACCTGTGGCATTCTGAAGTAGGATGGACAAATTTCATGGCCTGAAAATAGGAAATCTAAGTGGTGGCTCTCAATTATGTTTTGTTTGATACATGATCCAAGAATCAGAACATAATTAGAAACTTAGAACAGACTTGATACCAGGTGACACAGATGTGATACCCAGTGGACACGGGGATGCAACAATTTTTTAAAATTTTAAGAAGCATGGCTAAAATACAATATATACTAGTAACATGAAAAATAAATCTTAAAACGTGAGAGGGAATTTATTCGTTTTAAAATTGACACAAGTTATTGTAGACGGGATAGAATGCTATAAATGATTTAAGTATTGTGATGTTCTCATTTGTGTGTATAAAAGTTTAAAATTGAATTTAAAATAAACGTAAGATACACTTGGCAGTACTCAAATGCACTTTTAGTTCAGTTGAGGAGACTGGGGGAATTATAATGCAAGGGACACATTGTCTTGTTCACAAGGGAAAGGTCATTGAAGGGAGGGGAAATAAACGAGTTTACTACCATGTACATGGAATAGTTAAATAATTAAGGGTAATTTAGTTCAATTAGCGTAATACTTTCTATCCCCTCCAAGTTCCCCAATTCTGGAGAGATGCTAAAATTGATCGGTGTGGGATTTTAACCCTATCCCTCCATTTCCTTTCAATCAAACACCAAGGAAACTTTAGTGAAGACCCTATACGGGTACGAAAGTTGGTAACTATTTTGAAGTGTTTCTTAGCTTAGACTAGTGTTACACAGGGCGGGGGAACTGGAAAGGGGCGAGGGGACTGGAAAGGTATATTTACGTTGATTATAATTGTTATTCTTTATTGAATGTTGTTCATTCTGAATCATTTTCGTGGTATGCATGTTAAAACATGGTTAATATATCACCCAGGCTTCGCTTAATATTCAATTCATTTGAAAATAAGGAGCTTGATCTCTGGTGTAATTGGTCTTATGCTTATGAAATAGCCCAGTTTTCTTTTTTATTTTTAATATATTGGGTTTTAAAGTCTATTTCCTTTCCGTTCTACTGTCATGGATAATTAGAGGCATATTTTAATTTAATTTAAATAAAAGATGGTTTGATTCAGGGCAATTTGTTTTTGTCCCTACAAAAGAAAATGTTAATATACTAGCACAATTTTTATCTACAGTCATTAATTCTTCCGTATTCTCATTTTAAGAAGGCTTTGAAAAGGTCTAGTTTTATCACATATAAATAGTTGCAGGGTAATGGAATATTTATTTATGAGGTGTTCCATTTGTATGTCTTTTTTTCGTTGCCATCTCTTAAGAATTATATGAATCTGGTTTTAATGTGAGGAGACAAGCATTCAAACAACCATAGATTTGACATTTGAAGAGGTCTATAACTCTAAATTTTTCATTTAAGTATGGAGTTATTAAATATATTATGTTGAATTGTGCTGTCTGCAATGATCATGTTGCTTATAAACTTCAAAGTAAAATCAGTAACATGCATTTGAGGTCCGCTTTTAGGGTGCTGACTGGTTGAAGAGAAGGGACTACCTTGATGTTTATAAGCAGGGTGTGGTGAAGTATTTATTTGGGTGTTTCTAGATTATTTGGCTTATGTGATGCAATAACTGATGCTGACATGGGTGGATCAGTTGGGTTGGGATGGTGGTGAACGACGGCATGCTTCCGGATCCTGCTACTTTTGTATGGTGATTATTGATCTCTTATTGAACTTAATTTAAAAGGGAGGAACTTGATTGGTGAACTCTAGATGGAATTTTAAAGGGTCACTAATTCCACAGAAAGTAAATTTCAGGAAAAAACAACACAATTTATATTAACAAATTGTTTGGAAGAACCTGAAGAACCTAAGAAGTCCGTTAGTAAAAACACCATTGTTCCTTGGAGCCATCCACTAATATGTCAATTGTACGTTTTTACTTGCTGGTTTTTATATTTCTGTTGTAATAATCCATCCTGACAGCTCCAATAGCTATAAGATTACAAAACTATATCTCCCTTTGAGTGTTAGCATAACTGGCCACTTTTCTTTGGGATTTGTTGTCTCCTCAACAATTATTGTCATTAATGCATTCATTTGAAGGCATTGAAACTAAGATGTGCATGCTGTCATTTTAGTTTAATATTACCATATTGAGTTTATGCAGATGGCGGAAATATTGAAAATCATAACTATAAAGTCTTGCGTATGCTTATGTATATTTTGTTCTAACTGAGCTTGTTTATCTGTTTTTCAGGCACATGGCTCCGTATTTTTCTTTTAGGATTTCTGTTCGTTGGTCTTTATGGCATTATTATTATAGCTTTCTGCTCTGGAGCTCTCCACTATAGAAGCCTATTGGCTCAGTCACTCAAATGGTATCAATGAAGAAAGCGGAAGAGCACAATTACATGATACAATGATGTCTGTTAAATAGAACTGTGTAAAGATGGACGTGATGCTATAGATAGAGAAATGAATATTCTATCTTGTTTACTTACATGGGTTTTAAAAGAAGATATATTGACACAAATATAGCTAACGGTTTATTGAGAATATTGATAAATTTTTAAACATTTGTTTAGCCCCTGAAATATTGTGCAATCTCAATTGTTTTGGATGAATTTTTTCGCTTAAATTTGGATGTTGGATTTGATTTGCATCTTAATCGGTTGTTTTGCTTACTTTAAACGTTTTGGGTGTCACATCTTTCCTTTTTGAAAACAGCACAAGACGAAGCCACGAAATGGCTAGCAAGATCCAGCCATTATTTTGTTTAGCCGAGAAGATTCTATCTTTTCATCCTTGCTATTTGATATGTTAATGTTCATACTATTAAATTAAATTAATACTATTTAACTATATTATTTTTAGTATTATTAAGTTAGTAATCAATAAATTAGAAGAATAAAACTAATTTAAAATCGTTTCTTAATGAATATGAAATTGATTTTTATTAAGTTAATTCTTTATGAAACATAGGAATGGTTAGTAATATACAAATAATAAAGAGAAAACCAAAGAACTAGCCTAAATATGAATGAGATATACAAACATGCAAAAGATAATATGCCTTAAGATTAGAAAAAATGCACCAAAAAGAATTAAAATGCAAATGTTTATGATATGCTAATATGAATGTGCCTAATACTACTTATGAGAAAGATGAGTTTTTGGACTGCAACTATGGTAATCAAATTAAATTTAATCAAATAGCAATAAGTGAATAACAAGTATATAAAAGGCTTTTAAACCAACGATAGTGAAACATGTTGATTTCAATATTTTTTTTAAATAAGATTCATCATTAATTATCTAAATATTACTATTTAATTGATTATTGTCTTAAATTTTCAAATCAATTAATGTGAATTTTTAATTTATTTATTGGTGTTCTCATTGTTAACCAAAGTATAGTCCAAAATATTATTATGTCTAATCGTGCTTGTTTTTTTGCCTCCTTATTAAGTAAAAAACTTATTTACAAAAGTAAAGTCTTGACTAATTCTTGTTATAATTTTTATCTTTAATCAAAGTAAAATCTCAATTCAAATTGAAAACCTTTTGACTGGTTATTAGTATGCATGTAGATTAAAAACACCACGCTAATTAGCTACAATATAAAAATTATTACTTTCACTTGATTTTGAGACAATTTTTTTTATAAACATAAAACAAAACAATAATCGAGAACTTACAACTTATTCCATTCTAACCTCAAAATCCATTAATAAATTGAAGTAGAATCAATCCTAGAGCCTTAACACTCCATGGATGGGGAAGTATACATCATGAATGACTGGCAAAGTGAAAAAATGAAAGAAAAAGTGAAAAAGGGAGTGAAAAAGAGTGTTAAGACAAATCGTTTAGAGAATAGACTTTTTAAAGAAAATATCTCAATAAAAAAGTTGTTTTAAAGAAATAATGTTTAAGAAAGAAATATTTTGTAACTTCTGTTTTAAATGAAATCAAGCTTATGAATAATGTTTTGTAGACTGAATTCTCTTATGAACTAGAGTTATGAACAACATCTAAGAAAAGAAAGCGTCTCTCTTTGAAATCATATAATAGATTATAATGAGTAACAGGCTAGAGTTTATGAACAAGAAAGTCTATCTCAAGCTGAAGAAATTTTTTAATACAAGTGTTATCTCAAGCAAAGCGTCTTAAGAATACATCGTCTAATGTATGACCGATAAATGCTACTTTCACAAATAGCCTTTGAAGAAGCATCTAATATTTGTGCCAATTGATGACTATACATGTTATATGTTTTACCAAATGATGCATTTATGAATGACATGAAAAATGATTAAAATGTTTTAAACACGACTATCATATAATGCTCATAACATTCCAAAATATTATTGCATGTATGATAGTGCTTGTATATTTTGTTCTTGATATTTGTACTGATCACTAAAGTAGAAAGATATGATCAAAATCACTACACCCAAGAAAAAGACGGTGTGAGAGATGAAGAACATTTTGGAAATGTTTCCTTTGAAGCCTTTTACTCTGTCACCTCATAAATGTTCACTTTTGCTAAAGGCTATGATAAAGCTCTAAACCTCTACAAAGTAGACTAAAGTCTGACTTCCAACCTAAAGGCTACTATCTCTCTTGAAGTCAACTTCCTTGTCTAACAATCATCCTTTAAGAAAAGCTATACATAGACGAAAGCTTGAAGAGAAGACAAGAGTGTAGAGATTGTTGATAAGGGGAGCACATGTTTAGTTTAACCCCACCAATCTCAATGATACCTGACTTTTTGATGATGACAAAACATAATTCACTACAAGAAATATCCAGTTACCGGCATATCATTATATACGGATTAAAATCGGTATGTAATAAATGTATTATATACAGATATTGGGAAATCCGTTATATACAGATAAATCCATATATTATGAAAAAAAGATTTATATACGGAAACTTCGTATATAATGTCGTATGTAAGGTTGGCGCCTTTGAGGCGAGCTCCTAGGGAGGGATCCGTATCTTAATATTCCGAGTGTAAGCTGATAAAAGTTTCTGCTGATACTATAACACACAATTTTGGGAAAAAAAACAAATAAAAATTAAATTGAAAAGCTGCGTAAAAGATAAAAAGAAGCGATCTCTAAAATTTCCCCCCTCTTGATGACAAATTTATAAACACCGAAAACACGACGCACAAATGGTTTAACAATCGGCAAGTGGACCGAATCGTATCAAGAATAAAACACGGTAAGAACCCAAGTATCGTTTTCCCAAAGGACTCACGACCTATTTTAGCTATATGATTTGTTGATATTTAAGACTTAAGAACAAATTGTGAGAGGTTTAAATGCAAAAAACAGTAATTAAGGATGCATGGAATTTGAGCAATGGAGATAAACAGAATACAAACACTTCAATGAATTAGATGGATGGTATGTTGTTGGGGTTCATCTTATCCACTCTCATATACTTTAAGAATTCATCATTCTTTTCATCAATGCTAATGTCACTTTCTAAATCACCTTGCAAGAAGGCCTATCCTTAATTACGAGTTCATACAATTCCTAGCATTCCTAGTAATTAGTTCTTAAGTGCAGGAGCTAAAGCAACCAATATGCTATGGGAGAAATCCCCGGATCTAGATTTCCCCGTACGTTCCCATATCGAACAAAATAATAATCAGTGCAATGATGAGGTTAAAACAAGCATGCTTTAAGCAAAGAGGAAAAAACCTAACTAATGATG